AAAATTTTGGTGTCGATCATTCGATTTCATCCTGGACACTACAGAAAATGGGCTAAAAGTGTTAAAAACCGGAATTTTCCTTTAAGGCATTTATTTTCTCAGGAAATACATTATTAATTTTTAACACATTATATTTTAGTATGTTTACTATTTTTGGGGATAGAAAAATGTAATTTAGGCGACCTGTATGTATATCTGGATGCGCAGATGAGCTGATGGCGCACTGAGCAAATAATAGAATTGGCCCTAGCACTGATCCCTGTGGTACTCCACAGGAAACCCTGGACATATTTGCCAATAAAGGTTTTGTATATATGGTTTAAAACTTCTTCATCTGTAATAACATGATTCTACCAAATGTAATACAATACACGTATTTACACTGAGAAATATGTAATTCTAACTTTGCTTTGTTGGACTGTCTATAAACTGGAAAAAATGGCAGAGAAAGGTGAGTCTTCCAAACTCTGTAGCATCTACGATAAACTGTCAGAGGATGTTAGATTTCTATGTGCTTCACAGCTGTCCTGAATTTGTTTAATAAAGACAGAGAAACCAAACCAAACAAAGCTACTGTGTTAGAGGAAATTCCGTTCTGAAAAAGCCTGGTCCCACAGTAATGGTTATGAGCCAATTCCTTGGAAAAAATATATGATAGTACTGCAGTATTTTAGTATATTAAAAACAATATTGTATATTTTTTCCACAAAGAAATGAAACTTTGATAGAGCAAATTTTTTTCCTGACCAGCTGCATGTAAATTGCTGGTTTAGCTGGTGTTAAAGAAAAATGATTATTTTTAGTCTTTAATACAGTTAGTCTTATGGCATGTGTAAAAGGTATGTTGAACACTCTCATTTTGAACATATTTCTTAGAAAGTTATTGCTTTTATTTATTTGATAAGATCTGTACGTACATGAAGCAAACTTTTTAACAATTGCTGTCTGTCCCTATAGTTTATTGTGAATATTAAAATAAAAACAAAGTGAAAACAAATTATTCGGAATGTATGGTGAGACTTTGGTTTCCTTGATCATAAAATTCTTTAATTACTGTTTAGTTGTTTTCTTTAACATTTCTAAGTCTTTAGGTGGAAACACTTGGATATGTACTGGTACTGAACCCAGAGGGCCGTACCAGATGTTTCCAGAAAGAATATGCTTGCTGCATATCCTTTTTGATAAAGCTTATAGTTAGAGTGGCTCAGGTTATCCTGAGCTATTTTTATCTGTCTTCTATTATATATCAATTTATCCTATTTACTCACCATAAAAGTTTTCACTCAGTCTGTTCCTCTCTCAAGGCCACACAATTCTCTGCATGATGGTGTTTGTAGACCAGACATAGCTTCTTCCCATAACAAACCAGATTCTTTCTCAAGGTTTATTCATAACATGTTACTGTTAACCAAAGTATCTGTAATTTGCTTTGACTTTGACTACTTTTGCAGTGTTCAAAGTAAGGGGGGACGAACGCTGCCCAGATCAGAACAGAGCAGAATGCTGTGCCGTTAGGGCTGTATGATGAACTGTTCTCTCTTTGCAAAGATATGAATAAATGTGCCGACTGAGTGAAATCCATCCATCTCCGTTTATTTAACTAGGATGAATAGTTGAATACTTTTTTCCCACAACACTCTATAGTTATGCTGCTATAGGCTTAGACTACTGGAGGACATAGGGATCCCTTTTTCATCATTCTGCTTCATTCTATCTCTATTCTCCCACTCTGCAGAA